GCCATCTCTAAGCTGCTCAACGTCACCACCCCGAGCTGCTCGGTCCGGCGGTGTATTCCACTTTCTCGCCGAGCTATGGGCTGTACTGCGGTCTGCCGCTGTACTGCGTCGTTCGGTCCAGCTTGAAGAGACTCGCCCGTAGTCCCAACGGAAAGAGCCCATCCACCGCTCCCAGGGGTCCCAGCTGACTGCGTCGCCCTGCGCCAAGGTCCCGGTTTCCATACCTGTGGGCCCGGGGCGTACTCCACTCACCCGCGCCTCCTCGCTTGTCCACCGCTCTGGCGCAACGTCGATCGCGGCGCAGGGCGAGAGGCGGATCGACCGCTCCCGCGGTATTGCCCGCCCGCCGCGAGCGTGGGATGCGGGCGACACCGAAGCAGAAGCCACATGATTCAGGTATGACCCGTCGACAATATGACCCGTCGTGTGAAAACGTCCGCTCAATAATATTGATGTTGCGTCGTCGCTCATGTGATGCCCCTAGAAGACCGGACAATGCTCCGAGAACACGTCAACGGCCCCCCGTGCAAAGGGAAACTTCACACGAGACGAGACACGAGACACGACACAGATGAGAAACATATAGTTCATGGTTTTGCCTTTCCGGACAGTTTAAATTACTCTGAGACATGAGCGTCGTCCCCGCGACGCGAGGTCGGCCGTGGGTACAGCTTTGTCTCAGGATGTCACCAATCTCCGAGACAGAACCGTGTGCGTGTGCGGCCGTGACCCTTCTTCCGGCAGGAGTACCATGCAAGCGGGACGGGACGACCCAAGCCCCTTGCATCAGATGCATCACTGCATCGGTGACGGGGCGGAGCAGCGGAATAGCGGAGCAGCGGCGCATCGACGCGGACGAAAGGGGGTGGACCGGTGTCACTTGGATGTCTCGCGCCAATCTGCTGATCCACTGCGCAAAGGCGGAGGAATCGCTCGGCCGGGGGAGATCTTCCATGCGATGCCGAAGCGGAGGTGTGCTCTCCCTTGCGCCGGGATGTCCCCCCCCCCCCCTTCTCACGCCGGCGTCGACGCAGGAGTGCCGACGAGGCGTTTTTTATTCAAAGGGAATGCGGCGGAACGTGCCTTTTCGGTATAACTCTATGCAGCGCGCACCGCCCGGGAAGCATCCCATCCAACAGAACCAAACCAATCCCACCAGCAATGCTGCATGGCGGCGGCGGGGAAGTCTCCTCTGCTCTCTCCCTCGTTCCCTCTGTTCTGTCACTTTTTGTCCGCCTCTCCACCTGCCCACCTGCCCGCCCAAGGTCGTGGTAGCTCCCCTCCGGGCCCTGGGTCCTGGTCCCTGCACATCATTTCGAGTGCGCCAACCGCCAGGGAATCCCTGGGCAAGCATGCGCTCCTCTCATACGTACCATACCGCCGTACCCGAGGCCCACCGCACTGCACCTGCCGGTCCCACCCACCACCCCGGTTCTCTCGGTCGCATGCACCCCCATCGCATCGCATCACACCATCAGAAACACCTCCTTCGTCCCCCCTCGTATTCCTCCTCACCTCGGACTTCCTCTTCCAGATAACCCTCTTTCCCCTTGCTCACCTCCCTCCCGCAACCCCGACGTCATGGACCGGGGTCGTAAACGGCAATAACGCGACGCACTCCCTTGCCTCGCCACGCCTCGTTTTGCCTCGCCTTTGCCCGTACTCCTCCTCCGAATCCTCCTCCTCCGAATCCCACACGCCTTGCCGCCGGACTCCTTTCTCTTGCCTCCTCGTTCCCGGCTCCCGGGAAGCCCGGCTTCGTTCATTCCAAAGGGGGCGAAGGGGCGAGAAGAGGGAGCAGGAGCGAGAGCGACAAACCTCTCTCCGCCGCGATGTTTTTTTGACAGAGCATATACCCTTTGTCCTGACCTGTCGATCATCCAACCACCCTCCGACCCTTTGCGACTCGACCTCGGCATCGACATTCCACACGTCGATCCACCCATCATCTCGTCTTCGTTATCAACTTGCAGACCACACGACAAGACCGGTCCAGTCGACTCGCCGAGGAGAGAGAAAGAGATATACAAAGGGAGGCCAGGCTGCGTCGAGCCGAACATTCGGTAACCCGCGCTAGTGGGAGAATAGGGTTTCAGGCGATCGGTTCCTTGCGCCCGTCACTGAAACGACAACGACAACGATACCGATACCGACAACAACTCCCGACAGCGACAACAGCGAAAGGGAATCCTTTCATGTATGTGCTGCGTCGCCTGTGCACTCTTTTCATGTCGGAAACCCAGAGCTGACGGTTGATCTCCTGTATCACCTCATCCAACGCCTCGGTCTGTGCGCTTGCGACCAACCCACCTCTTTTGCCACCAAACACCTCCTCGTCCCTCCTCGACGTCCCCCCCTCCCTCCTTGTCCCCCCTGATGTCTCGACTACACTCACGCGGTGTGCCTCTGGGATCCCCTTCAAACATCTCTCCCTGGCCACCCGCGTTCGCTCGCTCGCTGCTCGTCCATCGCCACCATCGCCATCGCCATCATTTCATAACCCATCAAAACCTTGTCATCATCACCCATCACCCATCATCCCCCTACGTATCGCCGCGTCAAAACTTCTTAAACGCCTCCCTCCTCAACACACACATCATGCTCCCCTCCCTTGTTCTCGACCACATCATCCAGCAGCCTGCCCATCCACCCATCTCATCCCGACCCCATCCACCTCATCTTCTCCACGATCTCGGGAGAAGAATCATATGGCGCCGCTCCCGACATGAACCTGGGTGGAATCAACTTCTCCGAGCTGGGGAGGTGAGTGACTCAGGCCGACTCTGACCGAAACCTCCGAGCAGAAGAGACGCGCATCCCTTTGTTGTTCACTACACACCACACGAGCACAATGGGATTTGCCACCCTCGAGAAGGCCGCGTGGCTGATCACTCCTTCCATAGAAGATACCGAATCACCCCCATACAGCAACCCGAGCGATCGGCGGCCTTTGAGGGCGCATATCTCTCCAGATTACCGCTCGCTCCACCACTCATCCTCCAGCTCGACTGCTGGGACTCGGAAGCAGAGCTGACAATACCGTGAGTAAAGTCGCAATGACGCATCAATCACCAGGATCAAGGTCCTGGTCATCATCCCGCGCCATGTCACTGACCTCGCTAGCTACGACGAGCTGCCCTTTCTCATTTGCCACCTGACGCTGCAAACCCCCGAAGGCGACGACGCGACCATGGTCCTCGCCCCGGATGGAGAGGTCGTGTCGATGCTGTACGGTACGCTCGTCGCCGCGCCATCAGAGATGCTGGACCGGGACGGCGCGCAGGGCATATATTTCGCGTTCCCCGACGTCAGTGTGCGATATGTCGGGCGGTTCAGGCTCCGGGCGTCATTACACCGAATCACAGGGTGAGTGCGGGAGTCAACCGGGCGATGAGTGTTCTGGGCTGATCACTCGTTCACATCAGAGGCCCGCCGCTAGACACCTGTGTGACCGAGGCATTCGACATCGTCACCACGGCGGAATACGTGGCTCCGCGTGAGTGTTCTGAGGTCATGAATACGCGCATCCATGCTGACTGTTCATAGCTATAACAGAGCTCACACGGCACTTTGACGCGCAAGGCGTCGTCCGTTTCGGTCTCCCAAGAGAGGCTTGGGCATAACAGCGTCCTGACCTCGCCCGCGCCGACGCCGACGCCGACGTGCTCGTCCTCGCCTTCATATCCTTGAACATCACCGCCATCTATCCACCTTCTCGTGCCTCCTCCCTAATCCCCCTAATCCGCCTCCGCCTCCGCCTTGCCCGCCTTGCCCGGCTATACCCCGTTGTAGCGTAACCCAGCACACACGACACCCAGCATCGAAAACCCGACCGAACGCCGGATGCGGCTCCGGCTCCGGCTCCCACCCCGACTCCATCTCGCGGTATTGTATCCCCCTTTGAGCCGCCGCGCAATGCCGCGTAATACATAGTCGAGTAGTATCGTATCGTATGACACAAAGATGCACCTAGTTCTTCAAGCACGAGGCCGTGGCTCAACTCGTCGTGGGCATGCCCCGTGGCACGGATCGCAGACCGGTGTGTGTCCCGCTGGAACGACCAGGTGCGATGCGGACGCGCGAAGCCTGCGGGTCAGCCCGCACGATTATCCGACATGGCAGCATACTTACTGGCCCTCGAGGCAGACCTGTGCCGCCTCGCATCGACATGCCGGCACATGCTCCCATCCTCCTCGTCCCGACCCACTCAAGCAAGTGAGACGATCCCACAACCATCACCTCCGTCACGTCCGTCACGACTCCTTTCCCTCTCCCTTTCTTCTCCAACCCCCTTCGCCATCCATGCCCAGCTTCCTCCTCTGCACCATCACATCATCCAGCTTCTTCTCCCGCTCATGAACGGCATTGCTCCTCGCATGCTTGATCGACGAGTTGATGTACGTCCCGAGCACGATGGCCATGGTGAATGCGGCGGCGCTGCGATGGTCAGTGACGGTGGATCGCGTCCTGTCGGGAAGAGGAAACGAGGGACGAACGGCATGAGAAAGTCGTTCGCTCTGATTGGGGGCATGGTGCGGTGCGGATGTGGAAGAGTATGAGCTGTAGACGGTAGGCCACGATGTTGTGGACCAAGTGGGACGGATCAAGTCGGATGGTGGATCGAGGCATCGAATTTGAGCCGGTGACGATTTCGGCGTTGACCGCTTTTGCTGACCACCACCATGCTATACCATGCGATGCGATGCGATGCCCTCCACCCAATCTCTCTGTTCGCTTCTTTCTCTAAGCTCCATCTATTCTGTCAGTCCAGTCTGTTTGTCAGTCATCTGTACCGCAACGTGTCAAGCGGATCTGCACGGCTTCCTGCACCCAACATATCGATCCCCCCGCGGTGTCCAATCAGCCCAGTGGAGCCACCCCGAATCTTGGGGCCTGCGATCCACCTTTGTCATCGAGCGGCGTGAGGGATGAACCCAGTGTGCGCTATCCCTCGATACGCTTCCGTCTCTCTGCGGTCGACCCGCGCTGACTCGCTCCAGGTCACCCGTGTCGCCTAGAGGGATGCTGTACCAAATCCCTGCCTCCCCGGAGGACGATGAGCGGGACGAGTATATCGAGGAGGAGGTGTACGAGAATGACTTTACGTTCCGGGCGGTCTTTGTTGGTTTGCTTGTTGGGTGAGTCGACGTTGTCTATCCCACGACCGATAGTCTAGCTATCAAACATGATAAGCATGGTGCAAGATCAGGATCCTTGCTGACTCTTGCAGGGTTGTGCTTTGTATGACCAACGTCTACTTCGGCCTGCAGACCGGTTGGGTATCCATGATGTCCCTCCAGTCCGCCCTGCTGGGGTTCGCAATCTTCAAGGCGATCCCGCGTGTCCTCCCCCGGCTCAAGATCAAGCCTTTCACACCCCAGGAGAACGTCATCCTCCAGACGGTGGCGGTCGCGACGGGGACGATGCCCCTCGCGGCGGGACTGGTGGGCATCATCCCAGCGCTGGAGATGATGAGCGAGACGATGGACGGGAGAGGACCGGTGGTCCTGGGAGCGGCGGGACTGATCATGTGGTGCATGGCCGTGGCGTTCTTCGGGTACGTCGAGAGGCAAGGTAACGCCGAGACGAGTCGGACTGCTCGAGCTGAATTGGGCGACAGTGTGTTTCTCGCTGCACCACTCAGGAGGCAGGTGGTGAGTAACACTCCCGCCCGACCCGTGATGACCGAAGCTTACTCGAGAAGATCATCAAGGAGAAGCTTGTCTTCCCTTCTGGAAGTATGTCCCTCATCATTACCATCGTCCTCATCGATCTCATCATTCTCGTCATGAGCCCTGCTGAGCGTCCCAGCTGCCACCGCCCAACTCATCGCTCTGCTACACAAGATACCTCCTCCGGGCGAGGCCCTCGGCACGGGCGTATCCCGGGCATACCGTCGTCTCCCTCGGGCGTCTCGCTCAGTGTCCCCACCGGGAGAGGAGGAGCGCGATGCAGCCGCATCCGCCGAGGACAGGAAGGACGCAGAGGTCATGACCGTCGCTGGATGGTGGGCACTCGGATGGACATTTGCGGCCAGCGGTATCCTCACGGTGAGTCGAGGCGGCTTGGCGATGCTAATGGTGTCGGTGTAGTTCATCAGCTTCTTGTTCCCCATCATCTACGCCTTGCCTTTGTTCGATGTCCTCGGCCTCCCATTTGGCACAAGCCTCGCAGCGCAATGGATGTGGTGGTGGGTCCTCGCAACGGGCGTATAGGGCCGAACATGTGGCTGAGTTGTACAGGTTCACCCCGTCGTTGTCGTACGTTGGACAAGGCGTCATTATGGGCTTCCCCGTGACGATCTCGATGAACCTGGGCATGCTCGTCGGCTGGGCCGTGCTTTCGCCACTGTCAAAGCACATCGGCTGGGCTCCTGGTCCCGTCTCATCATCCACAACAGGCGCGCGGGGCTGGATAGTGAGTCCAGCCTTCAGTACTCACATACGTTCACCGCTCACGTGCCCAGCTCTGGGTTGCTCTCGCCATCATGATTGCCGAGTCTGTCATCTCTCTACTGCCCATCATCATATCCTACACCACCACGCTGCTGCGTCACCATCGGCAGCGATCCCGTTCCAAGGTCTTCCAACCCGTATCCCCCCGCGAGGCCAACACGGCCGACGACGACTACTTTGACCCCACAGACGAGGACGAGGACGATCCCGAGATCGAGCCGCCGGAGCGCCTCGTGCCCATGAGCTGGGTGTGGTCCGGTCTGGCCGTCAGCGGCGTGCTGGGCGTCGTACTTGTGTGGATGGTGTTTGGCGCGGATGGGATTCATCCATGGGCGACGGCGGTGGGACTGGTGTTGGCCAGTGCGCTGAGTCTGATTGGCGTGAGAGCGCTAGGAGAGACGGATCTGAACCCGGTGAGCGAAGCGATGGTCCAAACGCCATGCCCGATTACATCCGGCGCTGACGCTACAAGGTATCTGGCATTGGCAAGATCAGTCAACTCCTATTCGCCGTTTTGCAGCCGGGCAACGTCGTCGCCAACATCATCGCTGGCGGAGTCGCCGAAGCTGGCGCCCAGCAGTGAGTCGAGTCTGGCTTCAGTATTGTAGTTGTACACGACTTTGCGCCGTTCCTCCCGCTTACCTCGGCAGAGCCGGCGACCTCATGCAGGATCTCAAGACTGGCCACCTCCTCCGTGCCTCGCCTCGCTCCCAATTCTACGGCCAGCTCATCGGTTCCTTTGCCAGCGTCTTCGTCTCCACCGCTGGCTACAAGTTCTACACTTCCGTCTACCAGATCCCCGGACCTCAATTCGCGGTACCCTCCGCTGGGATCTGGCTAAATCTTGCTCGACTGCTCAACAAGGGTCATCTACCCGATCACGTCGTCCCCTTCATGCTGGCTTTTGGCATCCTCTTTGGGGCTCTGTCATTCATCAAGGCGTTCCACACCCGTCTGCCCGCTTCCCCAAGTAGGGACAAGTGGATCAGATACATCCCTTCCGGTATAGCCTTCGCGGTGGGTTTCCTCAACTCGCCGAGCTTCTCCATCGCCCGACTCATCGGCGGGTACATCGCCTACCGGACCGCAAAATCCACCACGACAGGGGAGACTCCCCTACTCGCTATTGTCGCCGCAAGCGGTTTCGTCCTCGGTGAAGGCGTCGTCAGTATCGTGACTCTCGGTCTGACCAGTGCGGGATACGGCGCAGTCAGCTGCTTTGGATGCGGTCTCGGAGGAGGCGGATACTGCTCGGGAGGGTGCACCTGACAAGACCTACACCTACAGCAGGACCTGGAGCAGAGAGCAGAGATCTGACAGCAGCGAGTAGAGATCACAGCGCGGAGAGCGGAGATGAGATAGACAAGTGTGTCGAGTCGACAATAAACGAGTGTATGCATATATATGCTAGACATAGCGTCTGCCTTGCTTTTGCTTCATGCTGCAGAAATCTTCACGGGCCGATCCGGCCCTTTTCCCATGCTATCATCTATTATAATGACAACGACAACGACTTTCCCAACGTGCTCTGGCTTTTCACCACGACCGTCGAACGCACCGCGCTCAGCGGCGCATACGAGCCACACGCTTCTGCGCGGCATGATACTCCCTGAAGTTGCGCTTTCGGAGCTCGGCAAGGGTATGCAGGTCGTCGGAGTTGTAGGCCCATCCTTCCTGGGGGTCGATACCGGGAGCGAAAGTCGAGTGCCAGTTGTTTAGGATACCCTGGGATGTCAGCGGGGGTCAAGGGTGAGCAAGAAGGGAGCGGGTAAGAAACGAAGCAGCGGGGAAGGCGCGAAGGGGAGAAGGGGAACAGGGGAGAAGGGGAACAGGGAGGAAGAGAGGAAGGGAGGAAGGGAGGAAGGGAGGAAGGGAGGAAGGGAGGAAGGGAGGAAGGGAGGAAGGGAGGAAGGGAGGGATTCGGGAGAGAAGCAGGATCGGGGTACTCGCTCACCTCCACGATGGGCTTGCCGGCGATGAGGATGTTGGCGATGGAAGGACTGAAGCCGTCCTGCGGGGCCTCGAGCAAGCTATAAGCGCTGCGGGATGTCAGCGGGGCGGCAACCTTTCGAGTGTGGAGTTTAGGACTGTAGCGTTCCCCAGCAATAACCGAAGTGACAACCCTCGGTGTGAGGTCGGTGGCAGCCGGGAAGTGAACGTCCACTCACGAGTCGAGTCCCGGCGGGGCCCTGTCAAAGTCACTAGCCGTCCGCATGAGGATAACCCTAGCAAAGTCGACCCTGCCGGCCTTGTGCGCGCGGATCATGGCTTCGAAAGTCGCGTTGTCCTCCTCGGCGGTGAAGGCGTAGTTGCCGGTGCCGTTCGTCCAGAGGAGGGTGTAGTTGGCGACGGCTTCGGAGAGGAGGGAGCCGGAGAACCAGACGTCGGAAGTGGACACGTCTGGGAGGTCAGCGGGTGAGCCGGGGAAAAGGATATGGGGAGGAGTACAGGGACGGGACGGACCGGGACGGGGCGGGTGAGACAAATGAGAGATGGCGATGGAGAGGAAGGGTAGTAACCCGTTGACGAGGGGCGGAAAGGGAAGACATGAGATACTGGGACAAGAAGGTTACACTGCAATAGACACGCAAGGCGGGGATGAGATGGCAACGACGGAAAGACCTCGAGCCAGGAGAGAGAATTCGCTACGAGGGTAGGACGCGACCGGCCCCCCTCCCACTCGACTCACCGCCGTACACGACCGACGGGGGCTGGTTGGCCGGAGCAAAGCCGTACTTCTGACGGAAGGAGGCGGCGGTGGCGGTATCGTTCAGCTGGACGCCCTTGGTGTACTCAAAGACGACGTCGCGGAGGTTGGCGTTGAGCTGGGTTTGTCAGCGGCTGCTTCCTTTCCACTTATTCGCGCAGGGCATGATGGACGAGCTGATGACGAGTCTGATGAGGATGAGAATGCGATGAGGATACGACGACCCGGCTCTCGGGGTGCTCGTGCTCGTGCTCGTGCTCCCCTCTCCGCGTGTGGTCCGGACGTGATAGTGCTGACGCCGCAACACCGCCGCACTCACCTCGAACAACTCCGTACCGTAGATCTGCGTGGGCTTCTGACCCGGCTCGTCCGTGTCGAAGAGGAAGAACCCCGTCGTCCAGTTCGCGGGCATCTGGCGGGCATCGATCTCGTACCCGATCCCGAACTGGTAGGCGTATCGAGCGAGACCGACGGAACCGGTCGTGCCGACGTGGGGGTTAACGCCGGCGATTCCTGCGATGAGGCTGGAGGGTCAGCGGGGGGGAATCAAGGGGAGACGAGAGGATGGGGGGAGAGAGGGGATGAGAGGAGACGAGAGGATGGGGGGAGAGAGGGGATGAGAGGAGAGGAGGGAGAGCCAGGGAACGGAGCGGAGAGGAGGACGGAGAGAGGGAGGGACGGAGGGACGGAGGGACGGATGGAGAGGCGGAGACACGTAGGGACGGAGAAACGGAGACACGGAGACACGGAGACACGGAGGGAGGGAAGGAGGGACGGAGGGAAGGGGGGAGGGACGGAGGGAGGGGAGGAGGGACGGAGGGAGGAAGGTGCAGTGGGAAGGAGTGGACTGGGGTCCGGGGGAATGATCTTTGTGGGGACGGACAGCACGCCAGACGCCGAGGCAGAGTCTGACGCGGAACCCGCGCCGCGCTCACTCACAAGTACGTCTTCCTCAGATCAAAGTCATCCGAGAGCACGAGCGCCGAGATGGTGCACGCCGCATTGATCTCGGCCTCACCGGTGGTGACGTGGCAGACGGAGCCGGAGGGGTTGCAGGTCACGTTGGGGTAGAGCTGGGAGAGGCCGGGGAGGGTGATGTTTTCTGTGAGACCGAGGGAGGAGGTCCAGACGTCTTCGGGGGCGAACATGCTGGGGAGGGTTAGCGGGGGGTTTGGGGTGGGGAGACGGGGGACGAGCGACGGGGGACGAGAGAGGAGCGACGAGCGACGAACGACGAACGACAAACGACAAAGGGAGGCGGGGGCGTGGGTGGGGTTGGCATGGCATGGCAGGGGGGGAGCGGGTAGTGGGGCATGAGAGCACGGTAGGGAGGAGAGGGGGAGGAGGGTGAGGAGGGATGGGACCAAGACTAGGCATGGCTCGGTGTCGATGTCGGGCAAGGGACGTTCGGCGTGATAGTCGGACGGGATGGCGAAGACGAGGCGCAGATGGCAGATCCGAGTCGATGTCACACCACCACTCACGAGATGAGCACCACCTTCGGGGCGATGGGGAACCACCTCTTCTCGGGGCTGCTCTTCGCCACGGCGGCTGCCGAGGCGATAGTGGCCGACGCGAGGATGGCGAGGGAGGGGAGGAGCTTCATGGTGGCTACCGGGCTATTGGGGGTGATGAATGACCAGTGTGAGTGCTGGGCGGGTGCTTTGAGTGAGTGGTCAGTCGTCCAAGAGGGATGGCTCTGACCGACTGGGGATGGGACGGAGGAAGGACGATGGGAACGGCGAGGACAGCTCGGACCTGTATCTTTATACCTCTGACAGACTGATTTGTGGGTGTGAGTGTCCGGCGAGGCACCGTCCGCTGTCAGTAATCCAGCTCCCAGCTCAGTAAAACCGAGTCAGCCTAGCGTCATGCCGTATCATCCAGTCCAGCCCTCGCCGACATCGCCGGGTCTTGACCGTATCTCTACAAGCCCACGCGGTGTATCGTCCCGTCCCCGAGGACTGTGCGGACCCCATACGTGTCGCAGGAACGAGGGAGACTGCTGGCGCCGACGTCGTTGTCCGACATGGCGCAACTTGGGCCCACGCCGCGATAAGGAGACGAGAAGCGACGAGGTTGCCATGCGGTGTGGAGGGCGATTTGAGTGGTTTTTCAGGGTATCCATATCCTCTCAGGGCCAAGACAATGGGTGTGTCCAGATAGACTAGCCAAGAACGGGTCGAGGTCGATGGCAGCATGCATCGAAAGGGCAAGTGACTCTGAGGACTGGACAATAGCCATTAGCCAATGACAGAGATGAATGGGGATGAACAGGAACAAGTATGGATCAAGGCAGGACGGACCGATCGAGCGGGACCGGACGGAGCGCCAGAGGACACAGATAAGCTCCAGCCGGTCCAGCCGCTGACGACGATGCGGAAACAAGGCGGTGACAAACCGGCCACGAGCGCAACGGGCCAGAGGAACTTCGATGCATATCCGAGAACAAGAGCAGAGACCTTTCGCTTGGCATTCGCGCCCTCGCCGATCTCACGTCTCACACCGCCTCGGCCTCCTTTGCCGACACTTCATACACCTCCTCGGCGGTGGTCCTTGTGTTCCTAAACTTTCGCGCCGGGATCTTGCGCTCGAATAGCTCGTCGAGCTCCACATAGGACCTTCCCTTGGTCTCGCTGATACCAATCGTCAGCCATGTGCTCAAGTCACAATTCTGTGTGCTGGACCCGGGTGGCAGTGTGGCCGTGTGGCCGGACTCGGCTGTTCACTCACGGGATGAAAAAGTACACCAAAACCAGCCCGATCAGACCCGTGCCAAAGTAGAAGAACGCCACGCCCTTGACACCCCAGTTTGCGCCCGTCGGAGCGAGCATGAGCGGCGTGCAGTAGTTGACGACGAGGTTGAGACACCCCGTCATGGCCGCTGCGATGGAGGTTGTCTTTGCGCGGAGGAGGACCGTGGAGGTTTCGGCGAGGTAGACGTAGCCTATCGGGCCGGCGCTGAGGGCGTATGCCGCGACCCAGACGCAGCTGTGCGGCGTCAGCGCGACGATGGGGTACAGTACTTGAGCACACCGGAGTCTCCCGGCTTGACAAGCACCCCAACCCACCTGAAAGCGATGATGACTCCGCCGGTCACGGGGGTGACGTTGGTGATCGTGCCCATGCCGCCGACGATGAGGAGACAAACCAGCATGGTCACCCCGCCAATGAGCAGGAGTCGACGACGCCCGAACCGCTCGACAAAGAAGAAGCTGATGCCGACGAAAAACAGCAGGATCAAGCTGGTCCCCGAGTGTCAGCCCGGCCTGGGTACAGTATTCCGAACCAGATACGCGGGTGATCCGCCACTCACAACACCGCGATGGTTCCCGAGAAAGGATCCTTGAGGCCCGCAAGCTGGAAGAAGTAGCTGGTGTACCCTGCGCCGAGTTCAGCGAGAGGCCTCGTACTTCGTACAGACCCCCTCGAAGAACCCTGGCTTACCGAATATCACGGGCACGCCGATCCACTGCTGCCACCCGAACGGCCCGAACGAGATGAGCGTCCTCCGCAGGTTCGTTCCCCTGAACAGACTAAGGATGGACACGCTCTTCAT